GTAGAGTGAGTACAGGAGAGGGCTCAGTACACACCCCTGTGGAATCGGAATTGAATTGAATTTTGAATCGGAATTGAATCGATTCTAGAAATCAGTGACGATACCCAGCCCTATTCCACAGGTTTATTTGGCAAACTGATTTTTATTTTACTCTCACATATGTATATACTTCTGTGACTGTACACTTTCCAGTGGGCTCCAGCCCACTGTTCTCCACTCCAAACCTCACATACCTCTTCTGGGCCTCAGCAGCTACTGAAATAGGGAAGGCATGGTTAGCATGATGGATCTCAGCTGTGCCAGGCAGCCTTCCACATCACTGTCCCCTGAACCCACTGCTCTGCCCCTCCCCTGTAGCTGAGCCACAAAACACACCCTGCCACAGCAACATGCTCATTATTTTGCACAGAAATGACAAATTACTGTATGGATAACACTAATGACAATTTTTAAAAATTTATTTAATTGACTTTACTCTGTGTCAAAACATTTCAAATGAAATTAAGAATGGTGATGTTTATGCCCATTTTGAACTTTAAATATAGTTTAAAATTTGAAATTGACTTAGAATATACAGGTTTTGACTTTGAACTTTGCCTTCAGCCACAGTGAAAACTAAAAATGACCTTACTGCACTTCAGATTTTACAAATGGATTCACAGCCATACTTAACTAATTTCTTGACTGATCCTGTATTTAATTGTGTGTGCCGCCCAGGTGGGAACTATCGTGGTGTATTTGCCCTGGGTCTGGTCCAGGGTGAGTGGAAGATGTATGTAAAGGGCCCACTCGACAGGGAAGAATGCAACCTATACAACATCAACGTCACAGCTAGTGATGGATTGTTTGTTTCCCAAGCAACAGTAGAAGTGACAGTGGTAGACACCAATGACAACAGCCCAATCTGTGACAAGGTGAGAAATAAAGTTGTGTATTGTTTTGTTTTGTTTTTCTACGTAACTGATTTGGCATAACTAGTTGTGTGTGTGTGTGTGTGTGTGTGCGTGTGTGTGCGTGCGTGTGTGTGTGTGCGTGTGTGTGTGTGTGTGACTGCAGGTTATGTATACTGCCTACATTCCAGAGGACCTCCCAGTCACTAGTGTTTTGTTGAGGGTTGGAGCTACAGATGCTGATATGGGTATCAGTGCTTGGATTCAGTACTCTCTACATGGTCCTGGATCCCAAGACTTCACTATTGACCCAGACAGTGGTATGGATGCAGACCAACTTTAAATACACACTTTTTCTCTGAATTAGCATGAATCGCAACTTAATCATACACAAGCCAAATGTCATCCCCCCGTTTGGCTCCATCACAATGTTTCATATCTTGTTTTAAACCTGTCCAGGTGAGATCAAGTCATCTGTGCCTCTGGACCGTGAGATGACACCTAGTTATCAACTGGTTGCCCAGGCTACTGATGGTGGTGGGCGGTGGTGCCATGCTGTGGTGTATCTGACAGTAACTGATGTGAATGACAATCCACCTATTTTCACCCAGTCTCGGTACACCACCAGCGTCTATGAAGACACAGTCACCAAAGCCCTACTTACACGTATCCAGGCCATAGACCCTGATGAAGGTGATACACTAGGCAACTGTTTATATTATCACTACTACAAGTACTGTTTCCATTGCTAATCTGCATCACAAGAAACCAATTACTCAAGGTGCAACTAATTGAGCCACATCAAAAAAAAATTAGCAGTATTTAATATAAATGAGGTACACAACATACCTAATTGAAATTTGGCTCTTTCTGAAGTGCTCAAACTTTCCAGCACTCCTTTTGGATCACTCCCCGGAATTCTCACAAAAACACAAAAAATGTCAAAAATGTCATTAAGCATGATGCAGATCATGCTTGCGACCTGATGTCTGGGTTTGAACCATGAGGAAGAGTTTGGTCATGCTGAAAATGAAAGTTGGATTAGATTGACACAGAGGTCCTTGCTTGTGGACTGTTATGAACTTCCTTTCATGAAGCAGTGTGAAAATAGCATGAGTGCTGGAAGGCACAAATCATTTCACAAGGAGACAACCTTTAAGGAAAAAACATTCTGAAATATTTTTTTCAGCAGGGCTGCACATAAGTGGTCCTCAGGTGCACATTCGCTGTCAAAATAAAAGACTCGCACCAGATAAGAAGTTGGAACGCGCGTTTGTGTACATAAGATGTTCTGGAGGAGGACAGACATTTGTTCAGAAGTCTTAAAGCTGTCGAAGAAGCAAGCTCCACAAGCAATTACTTTGGTGTTCCTCCACCGCAAAAGAAACGCGTATTCCCGGAAATTCCGAGAAATTCCGTAAGCAAAGTAATTGCTTACATCTTTAAAATATCGACATCTTTAAGAGTTCTGAACAAATGTCTATCCTCCTCCAGAACATCTTATTTACGCAAATCCGCGTTCCAGCTTCTTGTCTGGTGCGCGTCTTTTATTTTGACAGCAAACGTGTACCTGCGGACCACTGATGTGCAGCCCTGTTTATCAGACATTTCCAGACATGTTAATTCAAAACCTGCATGAAGTGAAAGAAGCTAATGCAAAATCAAACAGTTCTTTTAGAGAAAAATAGTAACAGGGAAATGTTAATATAAAAGCTTACCTAATATACTGTAGTACTAAAAAGAAGTTAAACTAATTGTATACAAATTTTGAAGTGCTTAAAATATTCAGTCTAATAGTTAATAGAGTTTTATAGAGGTTTTATGTCAGGCCACTAGTAAAAAAAATTTTTATAACTGGGTATAAATCTCATATCATCTCCTACAAAAGATAACAACATTTGGTAAGAAGACAAATCCAAGCACTGGCAAACGTGTTGTTTTCAGTGTACTGAGGCCCAAAGCTTCACCCTTTTCTTTTGACATTGCTGTAGGTCCGGGGCGTATGGTGATCTATTCCCTGGCTGACTCTGCAGGAGGATTTTTCTCTATCGACAAATACTCAGGCATCGTGGTCCTGGAAAGAGTTCTCGACCGTGAAATCCAGCCATTTTATCAGATAACAGTTTGTGCATCTGATCAAGGCTCACCACTCCCACTCTACTCACTGGTCAATGTCACAATTACTGTCCTGGACATCAATGACAATCCACCTGTGTTTGAGCGACGTGATCAGTTGGCATCTGTGCCAGAAGATGTGGGAGTAGGTACTGAAGTTCTGAGAGTTTACGCTGCCAGCAAGGACATCGGGACTAATGCTGAGATTACTTACAGTATCCGATCAGGGAATGAGCACGGAAAGTTCCACATTCATCCACTCACTGGTGAGTGAGGGACACCCTCTCACTTTGTGTAGGTGTTACAGTATTAGTCTGTGCTTTTCATTGCTCTTACAGTTTCTAAGATGTTATATATCTGTATCTTTCTCTAACTTGATCTCTATCAGCTTTCACTATGCTATGTTGACTCACAACATTATCTGTTGTTCTTAGGGCCATTAAAAATCTCTCACAGATTTTCATCATAAGGTAGAATGTTCATGAGCATCAGTGAATATCAAGACTTGGCCATACAAATTGCCCATCAATATTGTAATTATAACAATAATAATAATAATGATAGTTTATTTGTACTGCACTTTTAAAAACCAGGGTTACAAAGTGCTTTTCAGAAACAATGAAAAAAGAACAATCAAAGGATAAAAATAAGAAATCAATTAAACTATTTATGCAGCACTCAAGTCTAATCTTAAAATCAGAATAAGATACAATTCTAATTTAATGTGGTTCCAGTTTTAGTGAGTAAAAAACAAAACATGTTATATATTTTAGGTTCTTCAAAATAGCCACCCTTTGCTTTAATTACTGCTTTGCATACTCATGGCATTCTCTTGATAAGCTACATGAGGTAGTTACCTGAAATGGTTTTCCAACAATCTTGAGGACTTTCCAGAGATGCTGACAACTTGTTGGTCCTTTTGCCTTTACTTTGGAGTCCGTCATCCCAAACCATCTGGCTTAAAGCCCATCATCCCAAACCATTTGGTTTGGGATGATGGGGTTTACGTCAGGTGACTGTGAAGCCTAGCAGAGCACTCCATCACTCTCCTTGGTTAAACAGCCCTTACACAACCTGGAGATGTGTTTGGGGTTTGTCCTGTTGAAAAATAAATAATGGTCCAACTAGAGTTGGATGTCTCGAGACCACTTTTATGTGGTCTTGGTCTCGACGGACTTTGGTCTTGGTCTTCTTTTGGTCTCGACAGACTTTGGTCTTGGTCTTCTTTTGGTCTCGTATCCCTCGGTCTTGTCTTGGTCTCGTTGTCTCGGTCTTGCTTTCTCAGATCGACACAGTGCTCGGGAAAGTCCACAGGTGCGCATTCGCTGTCAAAATAAAAAACGTGCACAAGATAAGAAGTTGCAACGCGTTTTTGCGTACATAGGATTTTCTGGAGGAGGACAGACATTTGTTTAGAACTCTTAAAGATGTCGAAGAAGCTCCTTTAAGCAATTACTTTGGTGTTCCTCCACCTCCAAAGAAATGTCAGAAGGAGTCCGAACCACAAAAGAAGCGCATATTCTCGAAAAAGTGGTTGCAGGAGGTGAGCTGGCTTCAAATAAATGATGAACGCACAGAGATTTGGTGCAGAATGTGCCGTGAAAATCCCACTCTAGCAGACAAAAACAATGCCTTTTATATGGACGCAAACGCACGTTTGCGTCCATGTAAAATCCATTTTAAATTTAAAAACTGTACTTTTGAGTTAAAATATATATTTATAATTTTAATAAATGACAAATTAAAAAGGCATGAACATTTTTTTTTTTGTATCAA